TCATTTTGTCCAGGCTATAGAGCCAATCATAGGATTGTCCTATGGAATAGGACCAGCATGTTTCCAAGCATTCTTATCTTGAATATAATCATCTAATTTGTAATATGCTTGTTTACAAAGTGTACTTTTAATAAAACATTTAAATTTTCGTTCATTTAGTTTTAAAATGTCACAAGGTATTTTATTGTAACATTTCACACAGTACCCCATAAATGAATTTTGAACTTTTGGCTAATCTGAAAGATGGTTGAGCTATTTTATCTTTATTTCTAGTACTAAAATTATGTCTTTCATTTATTTTACTAAAAAGATGTAGATTCTTTCTTACATACATAATATTTTCATAAATGAATTGGCAAGGTACTGTCATAATATTAATCTTTTTAAATAGTTCCCTGAGAGATTCGCAACGACGTAGATTATAAATGGCTCTGACCGCTCTCTTTTGCAAAATAAAAATGGATTCTATGTCAGCAGCCCGACCCCACAGTAAAATGCCGTAAGACATTATGCTGTGAAAGTAGCTAAAATAGACCAAACGCGCAGTTTCTACATTGGTTAAATATCTTATCTTTCTAACCGCATAAACGGCTGAGCTCAGCCGCCCCGCAAGAGATGTGATATGAGGTCCCCATTGTAACTTCTCGTCTAGCGTGATGCCTAGGAAAACCGTTTGATTAATAAATTCCAGTTTTCCTTCATTCAACATTATGTCACATTCCTTACTTTTAACATTTGGCAACGTAAATCTAATACATTTAGTTTTTTTATCATTCAGTGCCAAATTGTTTTCCGTAAACCAATTTTGGACCCGATGAATAGAGTTATTCACGTCGTCACGATTTTGTGACCGTCGATCTACTTTAAAAATCAATGATGTGTCATCTGCAAATAACACCATCTTCGGTTTATTCTGAACTAATTGGGGTAAATCATTTATGTATACTAAAAAGAGGAATGGACCCAATATTGAACCTTGAGGAACGCCCATTGTAATTTCAGACCCTAACGAGTTTATGCCGTTAACCTGAACTTTAACCTGTCTGTTTTTCAAGTAAGTTCTTAGTAAGTCCAGAGCTTTGTTCTTAATCCCGTAGTGATTAAGTTTCAGCAGAAGAGTCTCATGGTTTACGCAATCGAACGCCTTCGAAAGGTCGCAAAAGATTCCAATGGCATCTTGTGCTTCCTCCCAAGCGTTAAAAATGTTCTTGATTAGGGAGACACCGGCGTCAGTTGTACAACGCCCTTTGGTGAAACCGTACTGTTGTTCATGAAAGATGGAGTTTTTATTAAAGTGACATAACATTTGATTGAGCATTAACTTTTCAAACACCTTACTGAGAGCTGGCAGAATTGACACAGGTCTATAATTATTGGGTTCTTTACTATCACCGGATTTGAACAACGGAACTACTTTACTGTGTTTCATGAGATCCGGAAAGACTCCTTGGTCTATGCTGGTGTTAAATATGAAAGCTAAATAAGGCGCAATAGTTTCGATGATAGAACTACAGACTTTTACAGACAATCCCCAAAGATCTTCTGTAGATTTAATTTTAAGATCTTTAAAAGCTTTCATAACAGCCTGGGGGTTTGTATATTGAAATCGAAACTCCGTAGGGCATGCCCTTACATTCTTCGTAAGTAACGCAAAAGAAAGTGCGGATGATGAACTTAAAGCGTCGGTAGTTTTAAAGGGAATATTGATAAAAAAGTTTTCAAATTCCTGAGCTATTTCTGCATTTGAGTTTATTGGGCCATGTGCAGTCTCTAAGTTAAATTCAGTATTACGCTGTTTTTTTCTACCAGTTTCATTATTTATTATTTGCCAGGTAGTTTTTATTTTGTCATCCGCTGATTTTATTTTATTACTAATATACAGTGCTTTAGCAATTTTGCACACACTTTTAAAAGTTTTTGAATATTTCGCAACATGCTGATGAAAGTTTGTATTTTTTTCATGTTGCCTTAGGCCATACAGTTCAAAAAAGTTTATCCCTGCTCTTACGAATACCTGGAGTCGCCCAATCACTAAATAAGAACTTGGTGTAAATACTTTTTGTCTTTTGTGGAACAATGTCATTATATTGCGATTTTAACAAGGTAAAAAACTCCGCATAGAACTCATTAGGGTCCCAAATATTATTAAAGTTTTGAACACACAATTTACTGGTCAAGGTATTATTTAATTTCTCTAAATTTTTACATGTAATTGGCCTATACCTTATTTGAATTTTTTGTACAGGTATGTAGGCACAAAACGTTATTGTTTGTCCACTGTGATCAGAAGGCAATTTATTAACAATTTCTTTATGTAAGTAATCACAATTACAAAAAATATTATCTATACAAGTGGCAGAAGAAGCTGTCACTCTAGTTGGTTCCATAAAAACATTAGACAGATTAAATGATTTAAAAAGACTTATTAATCTGATACTATTTGAGTTTGTTTCTAATAAGTTAATATTAAAATCACCACTTATGATGATTGATTTACTACTAGTACTAAGTTTTTTTAAGACATCTTCCATTACAGATTCAAATACAGATAGATTCTGATAGCCCGGAGGTCTGTAAACACATACTACAACATGCTTATCGAGCTCGACACAGGACAACTCTATAGAATGTTCAACTAACAATCTGATAATGTCTTTCCTTTCTTTAGATTTAACAGAATTTTTGATTAATATTAATGATCCACCGTGTATCATACACTTCCGGCTGAAATAGCTAACTACACAATAATTTTCATAATTAATAGACATTATCTGATGATCATTTAACCAATGTTCAGTTAAACAAATAATATCGAACTTGGTTTTTTCTAAAAACATTTCTATTTCCAGTAATTTGGAAGAGCAACCTTGAATATTCTGATGAAATAATTTTAAAGTATGTTGCTTTCCTTTTGGTTTATTAAAACATGTTAAATTGCCAGAAGATACCTTTTTATTATCCACAAATAATAATTGATTATTTAAACGGTTAACTTCTGTTGTCTTACAGCCTAGTTTAAAGTACTATCCGGAGTGACCTCTACAGTTGTAGAATAACCTAAGGTATGTGTTCCAGCAGGAAGAGTATACTCTTTCTGACTGGTATTGGCCTCCAAGTATGTTGGTATTATAGGTGGACCCTCCTTCGTACAACATAAAGATATATTATCAATCACTGTGTTGTTAGTGTAACTAGGCAACACAGTCTCGTCACTAATCCTAGAATTTGTTATATTAGCTATAACCTTGTTAATATTGTATGCTATTAACATAGCAATCAACCGTCTACATTCAAAAGACAGAGATAAAGTTCTCTGAGTTAACTTAGAACCACTAATAAACTTATTAGTGTCAAAATATAATAATTTGTCACTATGACGACATGTCAACATGTGAATAGTATGATCAAGCCGCAAACATACAAAAAGAAGATATATTATTTCTTCGACGTCATGTCTTATATCTAAAACATACATAAATACGTTTTACTAAGAATTAAATAATTTAAGAAGTTAATTTAATTAAATAAAGTTATAATATGAATCTACATATTATAATGACAGTAAAAATTCTATAAAAGAAGCAAATTAAATAAATTTAAATAAATTTCATATTTTATTCTTGTGTATGTAGACAAAAAAGATTTTCACAAACAATTATGTGAGATTTGTGAATAATTCAATTGTGAATAAGTAATAAAGTTGAACTACGAGTATATAATATTTCATAATCTTTAATGTCATAATTTTCTAATACGAGTATATTTTATTATATTATATGATTTCTGACTATTGTTTAAATATTGATCCATGCCATCGTAAAATACCTACTATTGCTAATGATTACGTTTGCATCTCCTTAACAGACAGACACGTACCTGCGTCCGTTTCATTGATATTTCCAGTAGGTGATATTTTTGTACGTAGGATTTTTGATAGGTAATCAGCATTCTGTTTCTACCGGGAATCAAATCCTGGACCTCCTTAAATATAAATCAAATTAAAAAGGTGGTATTATGATTTGGTTTAATAACATTATCTCACCATAATAGACAAATATATTTTGCCAATTAAATTTGGTATAATTTGTAATATTCCAAATTACCGAACCGAATAAAATTGCAGTTAGGAAAAACCAGACCCTAAGTAAATCAATGCCTTATTTTTTACATGTCGAAGAGATAGTCCTATCAAGCACGAATTTCCAAGTTTCGTATTAACTATTGGAGATTTGCTCCCCCGTTTGTGCCATAAAGTTAGATTGTACTTTCCTTGTACCTAACCAAGAATTTAGACTACTATATAAGTTATTAAAAAACTGTTCAGGAACACTATTTATCTGTAAGACTGTACATATATTTAACTGTACTGCGCTGGTGCGCACTATTATTCTCTAGTTCGAGAAAAATTCTGATTATTCCAAAATATGACAATTCTATTGTTTTTTAAATTCGATTGAAGGCATGCTTTTTTATAGAACATGGGGCAAACGGACAGGAGGCTCATCTGATGTTAAGTGATGCTAATTTCCTCACGATGTTTTTCTTCACCGTATTACATACTAAATTTACATGAGAAGATTATGCCCCATTATTACATTTATAATCTTTCGGTTGATATACTACTTCTAATAACATAATCGTTATTATATATTATAGGTGTGTAATAAATAGGTACCAATGATAGATATATAATAGTTTATTATTAAATTATAAATAGAAACGATATGTTTAAAACAACAGTCTTTTTCATATGAGCTCTTTATGCTCAAAGCACAAAACAGCTACTATTATAGCTACTGATAGCCGAAGAATATTTTGTCATTCATGTAGAAAAAACACGAGAGTGAAACAAATCATTTAATATCTATTTGATGCTTACAGTACATGAAAAAGAGAGTGATATATTATTAGATTATGTCCTACTAATGTATGTGTAATGTGTATTCTTTTTTTACATACTAATTAATATAACAAATTTATAGTATTTTTACTATAACAACCTAAGGTGATATGAACATTTGATCAAGGGGTTCAGTCATTAAGTATTTGTTGCCGTTAGAAATGATTTTCTTCATGTTTTCGTTCCAAATAGGTTTCTGCAGGAGATCGGAGACCTGCTTCCAGTTCTGGTTAGCATATGTGAGGACATTGTCCGCTGAAATTATTAAGTAATATATACAACGCCAAAAAGCCAATATAAGCATTTTATTTTTTCCAATTTTTTTTAATGTTAAATAAAGGTAGAAACCATATAAACAACACACTTGCTGGCACAAAAAGTATTATTTAAATATATCGTAAAAACCAAAGGAAAAAAGGGTTTAACATATTAAAACATTTAAAATTAGTAAATATAATAATTCTTTAAAAATTTTAGTAGAAGTATCAGTAAGCTTTAAATATCAGAAAATAATAGAAAGAAAAATTTCCTGTAATTCTTACCCATATCCTTTTGTCCATTAAAAAGGTTTTTGAAGTCAAAAGAAACTGGAGCTGTTGCTTCGTTTTTCTGTTTGAAAGATTTCATGGAGAGATATGCTTTGTTGTCATCTCCAACCACAGTCTCCAAATCAAAATCGAAGATGAATTTGTATGTCCCTGAAAAATAGTAATTTAAAATTATGAAATACGACCAGCCAGAAATTTTAAGGGTCCTACTTTGTGGCGATGTTTTAAGATGTTTGGGTAAGCCAAACCCAGGTGGGCGTTTACGGAAATAACATTAACTTGTCAATGAAAATGAATAAAAAATAATAAGTTGACTCCTGCAGATATAATGAGATCTCTTAGAGATCGTGAAGACTGGCAAACACATAGAAATGTTAAATCAATATCTCGACGGAGTTTTACAGTTAATAACAATCACGATTTCAAATTTTATAGGATTTGGCAATGTGACAATCCACTGTTAGGTTTGAAACAACTTTTAATTAGTTGAACGAGAATTCTGTACTATCTACATTACTTACTTTATATATATGTATATATTATTTCATATAATTAATCATATAATTCACCCATGCATTGCAAGTTTTATTAATTCAAAAGCGAAACACCTGCGTAAAAATGTTAATTATTCTTTTAAATTCCTAAAAAATATTACTATCGTCACGATAGACCAAAGAGTTGTGTACCTGGCTGGTATCAAACAATAAGGTAAGTGAAATTTGACATCAAAATACATTTTTCTATTTATAATAATATCACTTATTCCATGAACACATTACAGACTTTCAAAGAATTTATACACACTTGAACCATTTCATATTATGTAAAACATTAATTACAGAAACTATGAGTGATATTGACTTTTATTATTCTTAGGTAATTTTTATATTGTAATATTCACCGGAAGAGATTTTGAAGTCTCCATTTCCCTCAATTGGTAAAGTGATGAGACGTCCAGAGATTTCGTATTTGCCAGTTGTTTCTAGATTCGGACAGTCAAGCTCGGTGTGTAATGTAAGCGCATCTAAGTTTATTCTGGAAATAAGAATAAAGTAGGCTGGAGCTTTTCTGCTAAAATGTGTTCGAGCATTGTGAAGATGCATGCGATACATGTGTTTGATATTGTTACGAGCTAGGGGATCGGTTAGAAACGACGTAGAGCTCATCAAGGGTTTATTTTTAAATAAATCAACGAGGAATTTGTTAACACTAAAAATCCGCAAATTATGCGTATAAATACACTAATTGCACTTCTCACAATACTTTATCACTTTTCTTCACTATTCGCACTTTATCTCTTAGATGTTAATCTCTTGTAATCGCACTCGAAACTGAATTGATTGGTTGCGTTTCGGCTCGCTTATATGTTCCTGGGAATAATCTTGAACGATATTCGAGAACTTTCTAGGCAGGAGTGGAACTAAGTAGCTGGTCTATCCTTATAGCACAATTCTCGAACGTGCCTTTATCTCTTTCGCACATTACTCCGTCTTTGTCGTGCGGCGTTCTAGAATGTTCCCTATGGCTTCGAGAAGGTTCCGATCTTTCCTCTCTTTCGCGTATCATTCCGTCCTTGTCTCACACCTAGAAAGTTCAGTCTTGGATATTCCTTTATCAAAGGGGTATAACCAGTCCTGAAAATGCCTGAAACCTGTCTCACGACTACACTTGTTCTGAAACGGACATAAATCCACATTTCAGCTTGCCGAACACGTCTCTAACTTGTGGTAAAATTCAGAAATATTTCATTCAATCCGTCTTCGTAACAATATAATCAAAAAGATATGGAACTTTTAAGTACTGACCCATGCCAATGCTTACTTATGATGCCCTAGATTCTAATAATGGATTAATAAAATCATTACGAAAAAACAATTTTAGAAATGACACTTTGATCTGATGAAGACACGATAGCATATAGTATTGAGACTGTTCTAAAATATTTATTGCTTAGTTATACTAAGCTAGAGTTCAGATAAATTCTTACATTGTTTGTTAAATCAAATGGCTTAAATCGTAAGATGAATGTATGCGTTTTATAAGTTTCCCCTTAACCAATTAACCATGCCTAAGATTGATATACAAACATATACTTGTTTTATTTATGTTTTGGCAATTTATATTAATTTGTTTTAATATAAGAGGCAAACGTGCAGGAGGCCCATGGACACTCATATTGCCAGAAGGCTCGCAAGTGCGTTGCCAGTCTTTTAAAAATTGGTACGCTCTATTCTTGAAAGACCCTAAAAAAATACTAAAATATAGTAAAAATACTTCAGTGGGCAGCTGGTTCCACATAATAGTGGTGCCCGGCAAAAACTGCCTTAAGAAACGCTCTGTTGTGGAATGACAGACGTCGAGGTGATACGGATGGCATTTTGTATTCTGCCTTGACGTCTTATCATGAAACTCAGCTGCAAGTAATAAACGTTATTATATTATATATACATTTTAAAATAAGTATAATATTTTCGAAAATCGAGTTTTTAACAGATGTTGACGGGGGTTTAGAGGTTCTAGCGGGGAAAAGTAACACAGCAAATAAAAATTGAAGGAACTTGGAATTTATAATTTTCGCATCGAATGGTGGTAGTTTCATATCGATACGATCAGTGGTTTAGGCGTGAAGGAGCCTCAAACGAAGACCATTTTCCTTTTATATATAACATTATATATAATGTTATTTAAATAAGTATAAATCACTTACTTCACATTCTTGGTAACACATTTCTTGAATCCCGTAGTGATTGGGGAAATAAACTTAAATTTAATATCGGGCATGTCGCCCTCAATTAGGTCAAGTTTCAAGGGATCAGATGATTCGACTCCAAGATCTTTGTTTTCAGACAAGAACTGAGGCATGGCATTATTAACGGACTTCTCAAAACAGACCATGTCATTAAGATGGCATGGCGCTAATAATTCTGTAAAAAAATAGAATATATAATAATGATTGTTAAAAATATTTGCCTTTGTGTAAGGACACCGGTGTTTATGAGACTAAACTATTTGAAACATATAAGAAAAAAATATTGTAACACAAGCACATTTAGTTTTATATAAAATCTCCTATACTCGGACTTAATAATGTATAATGTAACCTTATTCTTGTTTGAATAATAAGTACATTTTGTTTTTACGTTTTTACATTATTTTGAGAGACCAGTCACTTTGTAACTCAAATTATATGAAAGTATAATAAGTTTTTACCTAGAAATATGAATAAATTCGACCTTTTTTAATCAAAATATTTAGTTTTTTGGGTTAAAACTAAATCTAAATTATTTTAATATATTGTATTAAAATATTTATTTAAGATAATTTAATATTTGGAGAGTTACCATTCCACACCTTATCCTTCAATTCTTTAGACTTAATTCATTAAATTCAAATTCAAAGGCTTAACGAGAAAATGCTACAAGTCTAATAAAAAGTCAATATAAGGTATTAAAAATAAAACTTACCACTTTGAGCGACACTAGCGCACAGTGACGTTAAAGCTAATATTTCAAAAATCGAAAACATAATGGAATTTTTGACAAGTATACTAATGCAGATGTAGCACTGTAGTGTTCACAATATGGAACTTCGTCGAATTTATATTAAATCTTTCGCGATGATAATAAGTAATTAACTTTTATTATTATTGCTTATAAATGTTAGAAAAATATAATGTTTATAACTAAAATCTTAAATGCCGCATTTATGTATTATTTATGCGAGAGAAAAAATAGTTTTAGTCGTGTATACTGTTCATTTTAAAATGTAATAATTCATAGACAACTAAATCATATATTTTAGTGAAATGTTTAGATTTGCGTTTATGGATTGAAGTAAAAAATTATAGTTAAATAGACGTTCTTTGATTTTTCATATATTGTCTAGTTATTAAGAAGTATTATGAAAACTTAACAATTAATTTATATTATATTCTTTAATATATAAACAATTTTCACAACAACTCATGCTCATATCATGCTATGCTTAACCTTGACCCTTAATGTTATTTCTGCAAAAATAGCCGTTCTAAAACTACCATAACTGACTTCATCTGTGTTTTTATATACAATGTGCTTCATAGGTAATCACATTAAAATGTTAACGCACAAGATCTAGACGATATTAAACTATTTTCAAAATTTGAATACAATTTTAATCTGTTAAGCCGTTTGGTCACAATAATGTTCTTTTGTTTTCCTACTATTGTGAAAAGTAAGGAAATATCTTTCTATCTCTTGCCTTACTTACTACCTATTGACCCTTTACTCGAATTGTCGCTGTGACCGAAACTAGTTATGTAATTTGTCGATGCGCAGGTTTATTATGCGCGCGTATTATTTTAAGTCTAACGAATAAAGAAGTTGTGATTTATAAAAACCCAATATGAATTCATAAACGATCTGATAATAGTAGCTTAAGAAATAAGGAATAGAAACACCAATTAACTATAGGTACAAACAAATGTAAATTAATATATTTGCTAACAACACATAGAATTTTGTTAGACATCACTAAAAGTAAACCGTTAAAATGAAGTGCCGAAGAAACAGCAGTACGTTTCTTACTTTGATATTGTATTTGATTTTATTTAAACGACGATTACATTTTATGTAACAAGAACTTGTTCGTCATAAAACAATAATTTCCATACACAAAATAACCGTCGTACATGCACATAGATTGACTCATTTGTTATGAAAGGTTATACTATTTATTATAAAAAATTTTGAACCATGCACAAAATTCTTTAGTGTTGCCGACAGCTCTAGTTCATAGCTTGGCGCTTCGTGCTTTGCACTTTACACCTAGGAATGTAAGATCAAAATTACCATATAATGCCTATGGTTTTTACATAAACTTTAATAACGTGAGTTAACCCAATTTAATCAAACGTGAGCTTATTTAATTTATAACAAAGATAAATTAATCGTAGGCTACACATTAGGTATAGTTGAGATTTATTGAAATACTAGCGGACCCGATAGACGGTGTCCTGCATGATATTTCAAGCGATTAGTTTATTAAACAAAGTACGATAGTACCGACTGCAGCGCCATCTGCTGGGCTGATGATTTATGACTATTGTTTAAATAATTGATTCATGCCATCGTAAAATACTATTGCTAATGATTACGTTTGAATCTCCTTAACAGACAGACACGTATCTGCGTCCGTTTCATTGATATTTCCAGTAGGTGATATTTTTGTACGTAGGATTTCTTTTTTTACCGGGAATCGAACCCTGGACCTCCTTAATCAAGGTTTTATTAAATTATCTTAACATAATAGACAAATATATTTTGCCGATTATATTTGGTATAATTTGTAATATTCCAAATTACCGAACCGAATAACATTGCAATTAGGTAAAACCAGACCCCAAGTAAATCAATGCCTTATTTTTAACATGTCGAAGAGATAGTCCTATCAAGCACGAATTTTCACGATTCGTCTTAAGTATTGGAGATTTGTTCCCCCGTTTGCGGCATAAAGTTAGATTGTACATTCCTTGTATCTAGACAAGATTTTAGACTACTATATAAGTTATTAAAAAACTGTTCAGGATAAATGTTTAACTGTACTCCGCTGGTGCGCACTATTATTCTCTAATTCATGAAAATTCTGATTATTCCAAAATATGACAATTCTATTGTTTTTTAAATTCGATTGCAGGCATGCTAATTTCCCCACGATGTTTTTCTTCACCGTATTACCTACTAAATGGACATAAGAAGATTATGTCCCATAATTATATTTATATTTTCGGTTGATATGCTTCTAACTACTACTTCTACTTCTAAGAATATGATAGTAATTATATTTTATAGGTGTGTAATAAATATAATAGTTTATTACATAGACATATAATAGTTTATAATTAAAGTAAAAATATAAATAATATGTTGAAAACTACGGTCTTTTTCATATGAGCTCTTCATACACAAACCTCAAAAGAGCTACTATTATAGGTACTGATAGCCGAAAAATATATGTTGTCATTCATGTAGATAAAACACGAGATACATGGGTTATATAATATGCTAGTAATGTATGCGTATTCATTTGTTACAAACTGATATATGTGACAAATGTATAGATTTTTACTTAAACAACCTAAGGTGATATGAACATTTGATCAAGGGGTTCAGTCAATAAGTATATGTTGGCGCTAGAAATGATTTTCTTCATGTTGTTGTACCAAATAGGTTCCTGCAGGAGATCGGAGACCTGCTTCCAGTTCTGGTTAGCATATGTGAGGACTCTGTCCGCTGAAATTGTTAAGTAATATATACAACGCCATAAAGCCCAATATTACATGCATTATTAGCATTTTATTTTTTCCAAAAAAAATTAATGTTAAATAAAGGAAGAAACCATATTATATATAACACATTTGCTGGCACGAAAAGTTTTATTTCAATATATCGTAAAAACTAAAGGTAAAAAAAAGGTTTAACTTATTAAACGAAACGAAATCTTAGTAAATCGAATAATTCTTATCAAATTCATCCAATTATTTTATAATTTGGAAACTAAAGTTGTTTTTGAGTTTATGTATTAGTAAGCTTTAAATATCAGAAGATAATAGAAAAAAATGTAATGTTATTCATACCCTGATCCTTTTGTCCATTAAAAAGGTTTTTAAAGTCGAAAGAAATTGGAGCTGTTGCTTCGTTTTTCTGTTTGAAAGATTTGATGGTGAGATATACTTTGTTATCATCTCCAACCACATTTTCCAAATCAAGATCGAGGATGATATGGTATGACTCTGAAAAATAGTAAGCAATATTATGAAATACAACCAGACAGAACTTTTAAGAGTCCAACTTTTTGGCGATGTTTTAAGAGGGTAGGGCCTACTTGTGTCAGCCAAACCCAGGAAGCCGTTTACGGGACTAACATTAACTAGTCAATGAAAATTGATATATAAGAAATATGCAGATATAATGAGATCTCTCAGATATCGTGAATCAATATCTCGACAGAGTTTTACAGTTAATTACCATCACGATTTGATATTTTATAGGATTTGGCAATGTGACAATCCAATGTTAGTATTGAAACAACTTTCAATAATTCTGAAGGAGTATTCTGTATTACTTACTTTAAATATTAACAATTTCATATAATTTACCCATGCATTGCAAGTTTTATCAGGTACTATTAAGTTAAAAGCGAAACGCCTGCGTAAAATTTTTAATAATTCTTTAAAAATCCCTGGTAAATAATATTAATGTCACCACAATAGACCAAAGGGTAGTACCTGGCTCAAACAATAAGGTCAGTGAAATTTGACATCAATATACATTTTTCAAAGTTTTTAAAATAAATCCACTTATTACATGAACACATTACAGAGTTTTCATAGAACTTATATATACATGAACCATTTCATATTATGTAAAACTTTCATCCACGGAACTATTAGTTATATTGAATCATATTATTATTAGGTAATTTTCATATTGTAATATTCACCGGCAGCGATTTTGAAGTCTCCATTTCCCTCAATTGGTAAAGTCATGAGACGTCCAGAGATTTCGTATTTGCCAGTTGTTTCTAGATTCGGACAGTCAAGCTCCTCGTGTAACGTAAGTGCATCTAAGTTCATTCTGGAAATAAGAATAAAATGTGTTCGAGCATTGTGAAGATGCATGCGATACATGTGTTTGATATAATCAAAAAGATATGAAACTATTAAGTATTGACCCATGCTAATGCTTTCTTAAGATGCCCTAGTTTCTAATAATGGATTAATAAAAATAGCATATAGCATAGAGACGGTTCTTATATACACTCGGCGTCAAAAAAATCGCACCTTTCCTAAAATTCGTGTCAAGCGATTATAACTCCGAAGATCCTTCCCAGATAAGTACCCTATCATTATTAATATCATTTGAAAGCTAATGAAATCCCTTATTAGAAAACTGTAGGAAATAGGCCACCACCCCCATAAAAAAAGAAAATTCTGGGAAAATGTGAAACAATGTGCATTCTGATCAAAATTACAAAGAAAAGGAACAATACAAAAATTAAAAATAAACAATGACAATCCTTAAAAATTAGTCTTAAAACCTAGTGTTGCCTCCTCTAGCCCTCCGACCAGCTTCCAAGCGGTCAGTCATGGATCTGATGAGCGTCACGACGTGTTCCTGGGGAATGTTGTCCCACTCCTCGATGACGGCATCTCGAAGCTCATCGAAAGTGGCAGGAGCTGGATTACGGGCCCGAACTCGCCGTTTCAGGTCGTCCCAGAGGTGCTCGATAGGATTGTGGTCGGGGCTTCTTGCTGGCCAGTCCATAACCTTGATGCCAACTCGACGTACGTAGTCCTTGACAATCAAGGCTGTGTGGCACCGGGCGTAGTCGTGCATGAACTCGAAGTTGGCGCCGACAAAACCTGCACATGGGACTAAATGCTCCTCCAAAACCTCGGTGATATACCGGTGAGCAGTCAGAGACCCCTGGCCGCGACCATCTCCAGCTCTGGAGACGCACACGAGGTCTGTCTTGCCGTCGATAGAAATGCCGCCCTAGAACATGCAGGATCCTCCTCCATATCCGACGGTTTTCACGGTGCAGGCTGGTGTGAAACGCTCCCCTGATTGCCTGTAGACTCTCTTACGCATGTTGATGGTGTACAGGCACACTCGGGTTTCGTCAGAGAACAAGACATTCCTCCACTGGTCGAATGTCCACGGCACGTGCGTTTCGTAAAATCGCTTCCTTTTCGTCCGGTGGATGGCAGTCAATTGGGAGCCTGTAGCAGCTCTCCGGGGCAGCAAATTCTTCTCTCACAGCCTTCTTCTGATAGTGGAGACGCTGTCAGCTGTTCTTCGAGTAGCTCAAAGCCGCTGCTGCAGCTCCACAGCGTTGGAGAAGCGGTTCCGCAAAGACGTCGACACAATGGAGCGATCACCTCTGACGGTAGTGCAGCGACGTCTCCCGGATCCATGTCTCCTGATGTAACCTCCAGTCTCTTGGAACCGTTGGTATACCCGTTGCACTCGAAATCGGCTGATTTTCAGTTGCTGAGCAACTTCAACCTGCCGTAGTCCGATTTGCAGTAGGGCCACCACTTGAGCTGCTTCTTTGCCATGGTATCCATTTTCACTGGGTTTTTTCTTGTCGAAGCTCTTCAGGTGTGACCTCTGTGACGTCTGGATAGCGAATAACCCATAATTGACTTTTACCCCCTCGTTTTATACGCGTCCAGGGTGGTACAATTAGTGAGCCTCCAAACGCGTACATCGCCACTTTTTAATCAAAGTGCTGGCGATTTGTGGTTTTTGATTTTCCGTAAACAAATGATTATTTTTTGAAAGCTTATTAATTGAGCTTTTAAATGATACTAATAATGATAAGGTACAGGAAGGATCTTAGAAGTTATAATAGCTTGACACGAATTTTAATAAAGGTGCGATTTTTTTGACGTCAAGTGTATTTATTGCTTGTGTATATTAAGCTAGAGTTCATACAAATTCTTACAATGTTTATTAAATCAAATGGCTTAAATCGTAAGATATGTATGCATTTTATAAGTTTTCCATGATTGTACCATGCCTAACACATATACTTGTTTTTTTTGGTAATTTATATTATTTCTTGTGTTGTAGAATGGTAACTTAATAATTTTGTTTTATAACTCACTTACTTCACATTCTTGATAACACACTGCTTGTATCCCGTAGTGATTGGAGAAAAAAGTTTAAATTTAATATCGGGTATGTCGCCCTCAATCAGGTCTAGTTTCAAGGGATCAGATGATTCGACTCCAAGGGTTTTGTTTTCAGAGAAGACCTGAGGCAGGGCTTTGTTAAGGGTCGCCTCAAAACAGGCCATGTCGTTACGAGGGCATGGCGCAAACATTTCTGTAAAAAAAAGGAATATATAATTATAATTGTTAAAATATTTGGCTTGGTGTAAACTAACCGTTGGTTAAGAGACTATTTCAAACATATACATATATACCTACAGTATTTTCAGTATTGTCAATTTTTAACTCAAATTATATGATGTTTTTATCTAGAAATATGAATAAATTCGATATTTGTTAATCAAAATATCACGTATTTTCGAAAATATTTAAAATTAAATGGTGATAATCTATTATGTTAATCTATTGTATTTAAATTCTTATTTTAAGAAATTCAAATGATGGCGTAAGATAGCTTGATGAATATGTGCTAATTCCTAAGGATGAAACTCATGGCTTTATTGGTGAAGCCAATATTGGTCCTGGTTTCGATTCCCGGGATACAGACTTTCTTTTATACATATGAAATTGGCGTTTTGTATGGGAGGAACAAAAAGTCGAATATTTTTAAATATAATATATTTAATTAATCAAAGTATATGTTTCTTTAATGACGAATTACAAGTGTACATTGTGTTACCTACGTGAATAAATGATTTTTGAATTTGAATTTGAATTTATGATCCATTGTTTTCTATGCACTTTTGCCATCTCATAGGTAGTTCATTGATCCCTTTACTAAAAAAACCAGTCGGACGGGAATCAATAAAATCTGTGAAGGCGATTTGGACTGCCCCATCAGAGTTAATTTTTTTCCCTTTCAAATTTCGAAAAAAAATGGTAATGTTGGAGCAAGGTCCGGGGAGTACGGAGGATGTCTTAGACATTCCAATTGAAGCTCTTCTAATTTGGTAGCCGTCTGTTGTGCAGTGTGTGGTCTAGCGTTGTCGTGAAGTAGCAGTGGCGTGGAGCGATTGACCAGCTTAGGTTGTTTAGCCGCTAGCTTTTCCATCATGGTTTGCAATTGCTGACAATAGACATCAGCCGTAATAGTCTGGCCAGATTTGAGAAAACTGCAATGAACAATACCGGCACTAGTCCACCAAACGCTTACAAGTAACTTTTTTGGGGTTAATTTTCGCTTGGGGCAGGATTTGGCTGGCTGGCCAGGATCCAACCATTGCGCTGAGCGCTTTCGATTATCGTAAAGAATCCATTTTTCATCACAGGTAATGATTCGGTTTAAAATACCTTCATTATTGTGCCGGTTCAGTAATGTAACGCAGCAGTCGACGCGCGTTTGCCGGTTTGCTTCAGTCAATTCGTGAGATACCCATCTTTCAAGCTTTTTAATCTTCCCAATTTGCTTCAAGTGAATTAAAACAGTTTTATCACTAACACCGCAGCCTGCAGCTAACTCCGACGTGGTTTGCGATGGATCCGCTTCCACAATAGCCTTCAATACATCATTATCAACTTGGGTCTCAGGCCGTCCACGGGGCTTGTTCTGCCCTGCGATTCTGTAACTCACTTTTCGAACTCACACAGCGGTTTTCGCATCGGCGGTCGCTCTCAAATCAGTCGTGAAGCAGTCATTTTATGATTTGGCATTCTGATAAACAATAAACTACAAGCTCCCACCTTTTCAGAATGCCAAATCATAAAATGACTGCTTCACGACTGATTTGAGAGCGACCGCCGATGCGAAAACCGCTGTGTGAGTTCGAAAAGTGAGTTACAGAATCGCAGGGCTGCAGGTCGAAATTTCCAGAACGAAAACGTTGGAACCAAAAATGAACTGTATTTTCTTTTGCAACATGACCGCCATACACATCATTCACCCTTCGAGTCGTTTCCGCAGCACTAGTGCCACGGCGGAACTCGTACTCGTAAATAATGCGATACTTTAAGTTTTCCATTTTGTAAAATGAGTGACGCAAACAGAAAAAAACAGAAGAAAAAAACAAATGAATGACGGTCATCGAAGCACAAATACATGAGTAAATAGCTGCACAAATTTGAATTTGGAATTCCTTACCAAAGAGGAGAACATCGTGATTAAAGTGGCCAGTACGAAATACGCCAATTTCATATGTAAGGACCTAATATATAAGAATAACCTTATACTTAAGATTATATACTCCTAAAATTACGGCAGTAAACGAGAGTTAGCATTCCACAACTTATCCTTCAATTCCTTAGACTTAATCCACTAAAATCAAATTCAAAGGCTTAACATGAAAATGCTACAAGTCTTATAAAAAAGTCAACATAAGGGGGCCTACCATGAACTTTCTTAAAACAATCCAGTTGAGATGCAGCGGAGTTTAGGTACCTAAAGTCAATAGCATTTTTTCGTACCATGACCGCCTATAAGCTGAAACGTATTAGCATCGCAAGACCGAATGAAAGAACGATAATTTTGTTTGTGGTTTCTATGTAAGTTTAGAAATTTAACTGTCAAACTTACTTTGACAGATGTTTCTTCAAAAATAAATAAAATATAAAATTATTTTAAATAATTCATCAACTCCAATAAGCTATTATGTCTTAATATATAAATTTATTTAATATAAAACTATTATTTTGATATATTTTAAACGTAAAGTTTTCTGGTGGTATGATAGTGACACTTATTATTTCTTAACCTTTCCGTCAAAATAATTTTGATAGGAGCTTTCAATATTTTGGTGTTTACAAAATTTCAGTTTTATAAATTGTTTAACTATAAAATAATAGAATGGGGTAAGTATTGTTCACAAATTTGTTTATTAAAAATAAATACCTATACGTTAACTAATTCATATAATATAAATAATTTTATCTTCTTTACAGGAAAGCCCCTCTTCATCTCCCAATACGGCTGGTCACCGCGGGGGATAATGACTACAACCCTCCATCTCCACTACAAAACCTCGATGCAAAATCTTTTCTATCAAATGAAAGATTATTATTATGGCGAACCACCAAACTATTCCGATTAAAGGTTAATAACAGTACATTACAATATGTTTAAAGCTATGTTTACCTGGGGCAACAAGTATCTTTCTCAAAGACAAGACACGAAGATGAGGTTAAAAGACGAGTCAACGTAACCTGGAATAAATCCTGGAGCAATAAGGAAACCCTTAAATCAGAATTTGAAAACTTAAGAAAAATATAATGGACTCATATTTAATACCTCGTCTTACATATGGCTTCCAGGCATGGATTTACAATAACTACATCAAAAACAAAATAGAAGTGTGCCAGAGAATGATGGAAAGGAGTCTACTAAACATACAAAGACAACATCGGAAGAGGACACAGGAATAAGGAAAACAACAAAAATAATAGATGCTTTAGACAAAAATGGAATTGGGTGGGTCTTACTGCTCGCATGGACAAGGAAAAATATACACCAAGGATAACGTGGCAAGAACCAACAAAAAGATTAAGAGGTAGACCAAAGTAAAATTGGATTGATGAAATTAAAAGAAAAGATGGTGAAAACTGGACCACCAAAGCAAAAGACAGACAGATGTGGAGCAAAATGGAGGAGGCCTTTACCCGTAGAGGGGTCCATAATGATTTAATGATTGAGTGAACGAAATCTAATAACCGCTAAGGTCACGTGGGAACATCAACTGTCTCGTTTTTTCGATGTCATGGTACGAATTAGCGATGCATCTCAGTTGTAGGTTGTCAATAGGCTCGCAATAAGAGTTCATGGTAGGCCCCAAGGTATTAAAAATAAAACTTACCACTTTGAGCGACACTAGCGCACAGTGTTGTTAAAGCTAATATTTCAAAAATCGAAAACATAATGGAATTTTTGACAAGTATACTAATGCAGATGTTGCACTGTAGTGTTCACAATACAGTACTTCGTTGCATTTATATGATATCTTTAATAGATAAGTATTAACTTATTAGATAATAAAATTAACATAAATTAACATTTATATTGCATATAAATGCTAGAAAAATATAATAGTTATAAGTAAAATCTTTTGAGAAGTTGAGTGACGCATATTATTTACCTAATTCAGTGTTGAAGAGAAATAGTTTCGGTTGTCAAGTCAGTGAAACGAATTCAAGCTCCTAGTCTTTAGACCAGTGCAGATAGCCTTTAAAATAAATAAAAAGTGAAAAAAATTACAGTAGGATGAAACCCATTAGAAAAGCAGGGGAATATGATCAAAATAATAGGAAAAATAAATTACGGTCGATCTGAGGTCGGGAAGGGGTAGGGGGGGGAGTTTTAAGGGTAAAAAACGGTTTATCTCGATTTCCGGCAAAACTAAAAGTCCTATCGAAGAAAGTTAAATGGCAAAGTTGTAGGTAATAAAAAGATCTAAAACTTTTGTATTCACACATTTTTCACATAATCTCAAAATTTATGTGAAAAATTCAAAAAACCAAGTTTTTGGTTTTTAATTTTTATCTTTTACAAATTTCTTTTTTTTTTAACGAAATTTGGTGAAAACTTACCTTATTATGTCCCAAATATACTGTAATTTATTTGATTAAAAATATTTATTTTGAATTAATATCGAAAAAACACCCTAATTTTCAATCGAAAATTCTGACGTCAAAATTTCAGCTTTTTTCAAAAAGTTGGTGTGCTTTCAGTTCGTTGAAATCTCTACTTTTCTATGGTAAAAAAATATATATATATATTACCATAGTAAATCTTCTCAGAAAATGCAAAACATCGTATGCAGTAACGCCCAGACCCGTCATACCCTTCCCTACTTCTCTATGAAATACGAAAATTTTAGCCCATCTAAAGGCTTAAAATTTTTTTTGGGTCACTCAGGTATATATAAGTTATCTTAAAATAGTAATAAATAGGCATCTAATTATAATTTAAAGAAGATTCATTTTTCATTTTCTGAGAAGATTTACTATGGTAATATATATATATTTTTTTACCATAGGAAAGTAGAGATTTCAACGAACTGAAAGCACACCAACTTTTTGAAAAAAGCTGAAATTTTGACGTCAGAATTTTCGATTGAAAATTAGGGTGTTTTTTCGATATTAATTCAAAATAAATATTTTTAATCAAATAAATTACAGTATATTTGGGACATAATAAGGTAAGTTTTCACCAAATTTCGTTAAAAAAAAAAGAAATTTGTAAAAGATAAAAATTAAAAACCAAAAACTTGGTTTTTTGAATTTTTCACATAAATTTTGAGGTTATGTGAAAAATGTGTGAATACAAAAGTTTTAGATCTTTTATTACCTACAACTTTGCCATAACTTTCTTCGAAGGACTTTTAGTTTTGCCGGAAATGAGAAAACCGTTTTTACCCTTAAAACTCCCCCTACCCCTTCCCGACCTCAGATCGACCGTAATTTATTTTTCCTATTATTTTGATCATATTCCCCTGCTTTTCTAATGGGTTTCATCCTACTGTAATTTTTTTTGGTTTCAAAAATTATCGGCACTGGTCTACTTGTATACTGCACATTTTTAAATCTAACAATTCATTGAGACAACTCAATCATACATTTTTGTGAAATATTTAGATTTGCGTGTATGGTTTGAAGTAAAAAAATATAGTTAAATAATAACTATTATTTTTCATAGTTTGTCTTGTTATTAGGAAGCATTATAAAAACTTAACAATTAATTTATATTGTTTTTCTTAATTAATATAATAATTATAAATTTATTCAATTTAATTTTAAATATTATTACGATTTTAATATCCTCTATTAAGCTGTAATTATGTGTGTATGAAATTCTGTCTCATCATTTCATCATTTACCTTTTCGAAAGAAATATTTTATCACCAACGCAGACATAACTACGGTAGGATACAAAAAAATAAAAAATGAGAATATGTAATATAATAGCAATTTAAAAAGTATTTATTATGTTTACCAATTTAAATCAAACAATTACATACAAGGGTATCTTTGAGACGCCTAAAGCTTGGAAGCTACGGGAATTGTAAAACATTCGATAAATACGCAAGATTACTGTTTTTTTTCCAAAAAAACTGACGCACTAAAAACGTTGCGCATATTTTTTTATCGTTTTAATTAAAAATAAATTAATTGATGAGAGATAAGAGAAGATTAAGATACCCTGGACCAGTTGCAAGTATCAATGAATCATCCCATACTTCCTTAATATCTAAAGTAATATTAAGGAAGTATAAATTAAAAACTTATGTAAGTATATTATTTTAATTCCAATACTGAGTTAGCTGTTTTGTATATTGTAAGGTCACTGATTAACTTTTAGCTGTATCTTTTGTTTAGTACTTAAGACTAACGTGCACTAATACTAATTCAATAGTTCAAATTGTTTTTTTGTCAGTCTTCTCACTAGGCCCGTGGTGTCAAGGAGTTGCCTCGTCATTCACATGGTGGTGGAGCCTATGTTCGTGGGCTCCAGCAGTCTTTTTTATTATAGTGGCGACGTCCTCTAAATTAAGGTTCCGATGGAGGTAGTTATTGAGAAAGTACCAGGGAGCATTGACTATTCCCCTGAATCTGCACTTGGAATCAATACGAATTAATGATTATAAAAATACTCTTCTAAGCACAATTAAATAGACTTAAGCGAATATAACTTTCAAATTAATACTGAGTGTAGGTGCCAACTATTTCAAGTTTCGAATTAACTATTGGAGATTTGTCACCCGTTTGTGGCATAAAGTTAGATTGTACATTCCTTATCCATTGTATCTAGACAATAATTTAGACTAATGTATAAGTTACTAGAATACAGTTCAGGCTATATATCTCAATCTGTAAGACAATTCTATTGATTTTTAAATTCGAGTGCAGGCATGCTAATTTCCTCACACTTCACTTCAGTTTTACATACTAAATGTAAGAACATGAAAAGATTATGACCCCTAATTCCATTTATAAACTAGCGACCCGCCTTGGCTTTGCACGGGTGCAATACTGATACTAAATTCGAAGTGCTCTGTAATATCTTCGAAAATATTCATTTAAATGATATCCTGTAAAGGGACACATAGATATATATTAAATCAACAATGTATTTAAGGTATTTTATTGGATTAGGATTAATGCTTTATCGGTTAATATCGCTTCGAAAATTACCCATTATTTGTCGTAAAAAGTAAATGACAAAAAAAATTATGTGGGATATCCATAAGAGTCAAGAGATATACCATCGCTGAGTTTTCTGTAGACCTTTTCAATGTGTGCCTACAATACTTAGTACATTATTTTGATAAATCTTGTAGGGTTCAGCCTGCGTTTGCAATACAAGCGGAAAAAATGAAATTATTTACGACATCACATTAGAAACCTCAAAAATAACAGTATTTCTTTACTATTTAATGAATATTATTATACATATAAACCTTTCTCTCCAATCACTCTATCTATTAAAAAAAAACACATCAAAATCCGTTGCATAGTTTTAAAGATTTAAGCATACATAGGGATATAGGGACAGAGACGACTTTGTTTTATACTATGAAGTGATGATATTCGGTTGATATGTTACTTCTAATAATATAATCGTCATTACATATTATAGGTGTGTAATATATAAGTACCAATGATAGATATATAACAGTTTTTTATTAAAGTCAAAATATAAATAATATGTTTAAAATTACGGTCCTTTTCATATGAGAGACTGATAGCCGAAGAATATTTTGTCATTTATGTAGGAAAAACTCGAGAATGATACATAGGTTATATGTGCTACGAATGTATGTACACATGTACATATATTAGTATGTAATAGTATTTTTACTTTCACAACTTAAGATGATAAGAAAAGTTTATCAAGGGGTTCAGTCATTAAGTATTTGTTGATGTTAGAAATGATTTTCTTCATGTTGTTGTTCCATATAGGTTCCTGCAGGAGACCGGAGACCTTCTTCCAGTTTTGGTTAGCGAAAGTGAGGGCATCGTTCGCTGAAATCGTTAAGTAATATAAACAACGCCACAAAGTTAGAATTAGCATGCATCCTAACTTAAATTACTTCTTTACAAATGTATCTTTTAAAAAATTGTAATGTTAAATCATTGAAGATACCATATATATAACATACTTGCTGGCATAAAAAGTTTTATTTGAATATATCGTAAAAAGCTTTGGTTCGATAAAACGTTTAATTTATTAAAGGCAACGAGATCACTTTATCATAGTAAATCGAATAATTCTTTAGAAATTATTCCAATTATTATATTTTGGAAACCTAAGTTGTTTTTGAGTTTATGTATCAGTAAGCTTTAAATATCAGAAAATAATAGTAAGACAATATTAATGTAATTCATACCCAGATCCTTTTGTCCATTAAAAAGGTGTTTGAAGTCAAAAGAAATTGGAGCTGTTGCTTCGTTTTTCAGTTTAAAAGATTTGATGGAGAGATATGCTTTGTTGTCATCTCCAACCACAGTTTCCAAATCACCATCGATAATGATATTGTATGATCCTGAAAATCAGAACTTTAATATTATGAAATACGACCAGCCAGAACTTTTAAGAGTCTTTGTGGCGAGGTTTTTAAAGGATAGGGCCTAGATAGTTGCCTGCTTGTGTAACTCAAACCCAGATGGCCGTTTACTTGACTAACATTAAATTGTCAATGAAAATTAATATAAAAGAATATTTTGACTCCTGCAGATATAATGAGATCTCTCAGAGTTCGTGAAGACTCGCGAACACATAGAAATGTTAAATCAATATCTCGACGGAGTTTTACAGTTAATTACAATCATGGTAGGATTTGGCAATGTGACCATCCACTGTTAAAATTGAAACAAATTTTAATAATGTGAACGCGACAATTCTGTATTATTTACTTTATATATAACAATTTCATATAATTAATCATATAATTCACCCATGCATTGCAAGTTTTATCAGGTACTAATAAGTTAAAAGCGAAACGCCTGCCTAAAAATGTTAATTATTCCTTAAAATCCCTGGTAAATTATATTACTATCGCCACGATAGAGCAAAGAGTTGTGTACCTGGCTGGTATCAAACAATAAGTGAAATTTGTCATGAATTTAAATTTTTCAGAGTATTTTTTAATTAAATTAATATGATGAACATTTTACAGACTTTTCACAGAATTTATACACACGTGAACCATTTTATATTATGTAAAACTTTCATCAAAGAAACTATAAGTCATATTGACTTATATTATTCTTGTAATTTCATATAATATTCACCGGCAGAAATTTTAAAGTCTCCCTTTCCCTCAATTGGTAAAGTGATAAGACGTCCAGCGATGTCGTATTTGCCAGTTGTTTCTAGATTCGGACAGTCAAGCTCCAGGTGTATTGTAAGTGTATCTAAGTTTATTCTAGAAACAAGAAGAAAACAGGCTAGAGTTTTTTGCTAATATGAGTTCGAGCATTGTTAAGATGCCTGCGATACATGTGTTTGATATAATCAAAAATATATACATAAGATATAATATGCCCTAGATTCCAATAAAGGATTAATAAAATCATTACAAAAAACAATTTTAGAAATGACACTTCGATCTGATGAAGCCACGATAGCTTATAGCATAGAGACAGTTCTAAAATATTTATTGCTTGTGTATATTAAGCTAGAGTTCAGACAAATTCTTACAATGTTTATTAAATCAAATAGCTTAAATCGCCAGATGAATGTATGCGTTTTATAAGTTTGGCCCTTAACCATGCCTAAGAATGACACATATACTTGTTTTATTTATGTTTTGATAATTAATATTATTTTATTTTTTATATAACAGGGGGCAAACGGGCAGGAAGCCCATGGCCACTCATATTGCAAGTGCGTTGCTGGCCTTTTAAAAATTGGTCAAAAAAAAGGCGAATTAGTTCGGCACTGATTTACCAACCACGCAATCGACATGCCACTCCCCCCCCACTCTCCCAGTGATACCTAAAAATCGCTTCTGCGCAGGCAAGGACATTTGTTCAAGATGTTTGCCGGTATCTATATTAAACATTAATATACATTTAAAAATAAATATAAATCACTTACTTCACATTTTTCGCAACACAGTTCTTGAATCCGGTAGTGATTGGAGAGAAAAATTTAAATTTAATACCGGACATGTCTCCCTCAATCATGTCAACTTTCAAGGGATCAGATGTTTCGACCCCAAGGGCTTTGTTTTCAGACAAGAGCTGAGGCAGGGCATTGTTTATGGACGTCGCAACACAAGCCAAATCGTTAAGATGGCATGGCGAGAATATGTCTGTTAAATTAAAAAAAAAAAATTATTATTGTAAAAATATTTGGCTTGGTGTAAGGACACTAGTGGTTATGAGACGAAACTATTTGAAACATAGACGCCATATGCTACGAAAAAAATATTGTCAAAGAAGCATGATTTAGTTTTATATAAACTCTCCTATTACTCGGACGTAATAATGTACATACATATAACAATATTCTTGTTTAAAAAAATAATACATTTAGTTTTTATAGTATTGTGAGAGAGCTGCCAATTTGTAACTCAAATAAAGTTTTTTTTGTATTAATAAACTCTACCTTTGTTAATAAAAAACATTTCGTATTTTGGTTTACATTCCTATTTAATACTAAATTTTAAGATAATTCAAATATATGACACATAAAACTCGTGGCTTTGTTGGTGAAGCCTTATATTGATCCAGGTTTCGATTCCCGGGATTCACTAATTGTAATTCTAACACAACAGTTTAATATAAGAATACCCTCGTACATCACATATTATGTACGCGTAAAAATTACGTGAGTAAACATTTAAAGTTACCATTTCGCACCTTATCCTTCAATTCTTTAGACTTAATCCAATTAAATTAAATTCAAAGGCTTAACGTGAAAATGCTACAAGTCTTATAAGAAAGTCAACATAAGGTATTAAAAATACAAACTTACCACTTTGAGCGACACTAGCGAACAGTATTGTTAAAGCTAATATTTCAAAAATCGAAAACATAATTGAATTTATAACAAGTATTCTAATGCAGATGTAGCACTGTAGTGTTTACAATATGGATGTTCGTTAATTTATATTAAATCTTTCGCGATGATAATAAGTAATTAACTTTTATTATTTTTGCTTATAAATTCATAAAAAATAATGTTTATTGGTAAAATATTTTTTTTTTTGGGAAGTTGAGCACATATATTATCTAATTCAAAGTTGAAGGGAAAAAATTGTTTTGGTTGTCAAGTTAGTGAAACGAATTCAAGCTCCTAATATAGTCTGGTATACTGTACATTTTAAAATCAAACAATTCATTGAGACTAACTGTATCATATTATTTTTGTGAGTTGTTTAGATTTGCGTTTATGGTTTCAAATAAAAAAATATAGCTTAATAATCGTTCTTTAATGTTTTATAGTTATTCTAGTTATTAAGAAGTATTATAAAAAAAATATTTATTTATATTATTTTTCTTGAGTATAGAATTTTTATTAGATTTTAATAACCTCTATTAAGCAAGTAATTATGAATGTGTTGAATTTTAAACAGATTTACAAATTATTTCTTATTTACCAATTCGAAACAAATATTTTATCACCGAGAATGCCAACCCAGACTTAACTACGGTAGGATATAAATATTAAATAGGAATATGTAATATAATAGTCCATATTACATGGAACCAACTACAGAGCTGGTGCGGCTTGTGAAGCGGCTGAAAAACTAAAGCATGCAAATATAATAGACCGAAGATCTGGCAGCTACCTCGGACAAAGAATTAGTCTAGCGATTCAAAGGGGGAACGCTGCATCTTCGGAACCTTGCCTAAAGGGACTCCTTTTAATAATATATTTTAGTTTATGTTAAGGTTAGTTATTTTTTTTTCAATGTATATTATTTTAGTTATTATATTTTATTATTCAAATATTTAGTTATTAAATGATTTATATAATAAATTAAAAAGTATTTATTACGTTTACAAATTTAAATTAATCGGAAAAAAAATTATATAAAAGGGTATCTTTGAGCCTAACGCTTGGAAGCTACTATGGAATCGTAAAACTTTTGATAAAAACGCATTCAAGACTTGATTTTTAACAAATAAAACTGTAATACGTTGCGCATATTTTTTTATTGTTTTAATTAAAAATAAATTGATAAGAGATAAGAGAAGATTAAGATACCCTGGACCAGTTGCAAGTATCAATTCATCATGTGATCATAGTTCTTTGAATAAGTCATCGAAAATGCTAAATTATGCAGTAAATATTTCCCCCAGTGGTGCAGTTTTTAGGTGTTTGTTGAAATGGATAACCAGTTGCTTTAAATGCGCATACCACACCGGATCCTGCACCAGATTAGCTACTTCCTTCCAGTTCTCGTTCGCGAATTTATGAACCGCGTCAGCTGAAAAACAAATATCTTGATATAAATACGTAGTTTTACGAATACTTAGTACTCTGATACTCATACGCAACTTCGCTATAACAATTATTAATCGATATATTAATGTAAAGGAAGCATAGGAAGTAAAAACTTATATCTATGGTGAACAACTGGGGTTTTAGTTGTTATGTATATTGTTCGGTCAACGTCTAACTTATGTTTTAAAAAGTGTCAACCTTTTAGGTCAGGGCCTCAGGTTTGAGTATCTGTTTCGTGATCATTTGCCTTTTCTAATAGGCAAGTGGATAAGCTTTCTTTGCCCGACTCCCGACATCTTACAGTACGAGCGTGTGTTGAAAGCGCACATAGACGGAAATTCTATTGGGGTATAGACGGGTATGGTGCCTGATGATAACCACTGGGGCAACACTGATATTTAGTCTTTTAAAACATAATCCCATACGTTATGTCTTTAGTTTATTATTTCTTAGGCGTTAAATCGGCGTTCAGCGATAATTACACTTTAAATAAAGTTATAATATGTATCTGCAATAAATGATAGTAAAATTCTATTTAAAAGCAAAATAAATAAATAAAAAATAAATTCCAAATTTTATTCTTGTGTACGTAGACAAAAAAGATTAATTATCGTATAATAGATTTTCTCAAACACTAAATTATTCCTTTCTCATGAATAAGTAAGTAATAAAGTTAAACTACCTTGGTTTTCGGAAAAAATATTTTATTATCTTTAATTACTTCCATGTTTATTATATTATATAATTTATGACTATTGTTTTAATAAGTATACCTATGCCGTCGTAAATGCTGGCCGTTTCATTGATATTTCCACTAACATTTTTGTACGTAGGATTTTTTATAAATAATCAGCATTCTGCTTCTAACGGGAATATAACCTCCTTAAATACAATTCAAGGTAAAAAAGGTTGTATTATAATTTGGTTTTGTTGAATTATCTTACCAAAATAGACCTATATTTGGTATAATTTGTGAGTAATGGAGGATTTTCCCCTTTTTTATGAATGGAAAATTACAAATTACAGAACAGAAAAACTTTGCAATTAGGAAAAACCATAAGATTGATTGCGGCTTTGGTGAATTTTATTGTACCTTCCTGAAAACCTTAGTTTACTATTGTTAAAGTAGATATAAGCAGCGTCGCTCTTCCGTGGTGCAGGGAAAGGGAACAGAGCTCGCGGTTGGTCCATGAGGTGGACTGATCAAATCAAGAATGCGCTAAACCATCCTCTCCATAAATGCAGGGTTGTCAAGAATAGAGTTACTCCAAAGAGTCCTTATTGAGAAGATGAAGAAAGCAGATCGCAGACCTTGGCAAATATGTGAAACAATGCCTTATTTTTTACATGTACGAAGAGCTCAAGCACGAATTTCGTTATGTATTTTTGAATATTATTTACATTTTTTACATGTACGAAGAGTTCAAGCACGAATTTCGTTATGTATTTTTGAATAGTATTTACGATTAAATATGTCTATACGCAACATAAAATAAATCACATGTTAATTCTATTTTATAACTCATTATTTATGTGTATATAGATCATGTTAGTTAAAAATCAACGGTATAAAAAAAGTTCAAATACTTACACAAATCTTTTTGTCCGTTAAATAGATTTTTAAAATCGAATACTACTGGTTCAATTGCTTCGTTGTTAAGCTTAATGTTTTTAATTGCGAAATATGTTTTGCCGTTTTCATCTCGCACTTCTTTCAATTCAGCATTGACAGCTATTGAATATCTTCCTGAAAGATAATTAATCGTTATTTTCAGAGATTTAATAACTAATTCGGCACTTTGTCTTTTTTTATGATCTCAAATATAAATTTAAAATCGTCATATTTCATTATAAACAAAATACTGTTTCTTTTAAATCCATTAAATTGTTTGAATTTAAAACGGTATCATAGAAGAGTAGTACGAGTACCTACAGATTTGTATGGAACCTGAAACATTCCGTAGAGAACATATTTGGAACAATAAGCATGCTGTGTTTGCATCTTAAAGGGTGTAATTAATTTTTGATTTTTGTTTGTTTCAAGATGATCGATTTTATTGTAATGGCCGTTGGCAAACCTATTCAAATAATGGATTATACTTAACGGAAATTAAACGAAATTTCACTTACAAACGACGCATTCGAGTACGAGCCATGGGTATCGTAAAGTTCTTGTACAGATTTGTACTTTTAATAAATTAGGATAAACAAATTGACCAGGTCTAATAATAGTTGTAATGATACCTGTGGTAAGTCGATATTCTCCCTTCCCTTCAACGGGCAAAACAATGAGGCGACCTGATACTTCATATTTGCCTGTAGAGTCGAATCCTGGACAGTCCAACTCAAAATACAGGGTAAGGCTGTTGAGATTTGACCTGAAAATAGACAGAAATATTAATGAAAAAAAGGGTTTATAACCTTTATCTTATGTTTTTACTAATTGTTGTAATACAATTTAATGATAAAGAATAAATAAAAGTTCCTGATCATTAGTACCTGGAGTTTCTGGGATAGTTTTGTTAAAAAGAATTAATCAAAGTATAGATATGAGATATATCAAATTAAACAAACTAAGATTAAATATGTAATTTTAGTTATTTCTTTTGAAAGAGAATCAATCAATTCACAAAATAAACCCGTATTAGTATAAAAATAACAATTAATTAATTTAAATATAACTACACAAATATGTATCAAACTCACTTTACATTCGTAATGGAACAATCCTTATAACCTTTGACTGTCGAGTCGAATAATTTATACTTTAATATCGACAGGTTTCCATCAATCAAATCGATATGTAGAGGGTCTGATGGCCCAATGCCTAAAGTTTTATCCTCAGATAAAAGCTTGGGGAATGCATTAGCAAAAGCTGCATCAAAACATTTTGAATCGTTGGTTTTGCAGGGTGAAAAAAGAGCTGTAATATTTATTTATTTGTATAAATATATATGAAGTATTTCATTGCCATAATACACATAATTATACATATAGAAAAAAAACAAAAAGTAAGTAGGTAACACAAGTTATTATTTGTAAAATGGGATATGATAATCGCTATTCTCTAATAGCAGCGTTGGCCTAGTGGCTTCAGCGTGCGACTCTCATCCCTGAGGTCGAAGGTTCGATCCCGGCTGTGCACCAATGGACTTTCTTTCTATGTGCGCATTTAACATTCGCTCGAACATTGAAGGAAAACATCGTGAGGAAACCGGCTTGCTTTAGACCCAAAAAGTCAACGGCGTGCGTCAGGCACAGAAGGCTGATCACCTACTTGCCTATTAGATTACCAAATGATCATGAAACAGATATAGAAATCTGAGGCCCAGACCTAAAAAGGTTGTAGCGCTACTGATTTATTTATTTATTAATAGAATATCTTCAACCCAGACATCTTTCATGATCAGCTAGCCTTGCTCTTGACTTTAAGACAATATTATAAATATGTTTGTTTTATAAATCATTTGCAAATGAGAGCCTCCATTGTGTGCACATCCCCAGGTTATGGGACTACATATTAAATTCCTTTATATATCGTTTAAATAAATACAATATATATTCTTACCACAGTGACCAATATTCGCACAAACCGCAAAAAATACTAATATTTTAAATGGTAATAACATGTTGCCTTTTGTAACTGACCACAACCGAGCACACTGTCCGAGGGAATTCTTATGAAGCTAAGGAAAATCTGTTAGGTTTATAAGTTGTGTTTTAAAAATACTAAAGCACTAAGAAACAATAATGTTGGTTCCGTATAAAATGAAAAAACAATAAAATTTGAAAAACACGCATAAATATAAAATACAAAAAAATATATAATGGAGAAGTGAAATATTCGAAATTCAAAAAAAAAGTCTACTGAATATAATAAAAAAGGCCCTTTTTTCAATTAAAGTCAATCTAGTGAATTTAAAAAGTATATAGTCACGAAAAAATATACGAAAAAATATTATGCAAACATTTGATGGGTCATCATATTAATTGCCTGGCAGTATAACTATTTTAAATTTGTTAACTTAAAATCTTTAGTAGAAGCTTAATACTAAATGCTACGTGTCCATATTGACCCAGTTATTCTGATGAGGTTATCCTATTATCTAAATTAAATGTGTTATTTCAATAATTTCTTATTTTGCATTGGAAAAAATTAAGTTAACTGCGTAATTTGTTGTAAGTATAAAACGAGGCATTAATTATGTTTAATGTTTAAAGAACTTTATTTCTCATTACAAAAATTTTTTTTTTTTATTTACATGAGAAATTTAATATTAAGTATATATACGAACGAGATACACGTCGCCATCAGCTAGCCCAATTCTAGTCTAATGGGCCCATTCTGATGTGTGTCTTTAATGCCCTTTTGAACTGATCAATCACGCTAATGTTACGAAGCTTAGACGGCAACCGATTAAACAATTGCACACCCTCATACCTAATAGATCTCTTTAAATAATTTGTGCGCGGCTTTGGCAAGATAAGCAAACTCGCTCGACGAGTATTGCGTGTAGTGGTGTATTTGATTTTATTAAATGATAAGTTACTATGTAGAGAGTTATTTAAAATTTTTTTAATAAGGATACAGGTGCTATAAACATATAGTTGTTTAATCGTCATAATTTTAGTTTCTTGGTAGATTTTATTAGTAGGTGTTAAAAAATTGTATCTGAATAGTGCTTTTATTAATTTATTTTGTAGTGTTTGTATTGTAGAAATTTTGTTTTTGCATGCTGTACCCCATATTTCAATTAGGTATATGAAATGTGGCTTGACTAAACAATTATAGATCAAATGACGTACAGATTGCGGAATGCATTTAGATATTGACCAAAATCTGCCTATAAGTGATTTTAGTTTGGTAATTATGTGTGATATATGAAAGTTCCATTTTAAATTTGTATCCATTCTAAGACCCAGATATTTCTCCCATTTTTTTGTTATTGATTTCAACGTCTTGAACTTTAAGCGGTTGAAAGATAGGAATGAGTTTATTTGTTGCCTTGAATATTACATAAGATGTTTTTGAAATATTAATTGTTAGTAGATTTTGTTGAAACCAAGAAGATAGAACATTTAGGTCTGATTGAGCTTGAGCAACCATAGTCTGGATATTTGAACCAAAGTAAAATAAGCAGGTGTCATCAGCGTAGAGAGTGATTCGGCCGTGTAAAACCGAGTTCGTGAATGTTGTTAATATATATTAAAAATAACAATGGACCTAATATAGATCCTTGTGGGACGCCGCATGTTATTGGTATTTCTGAACTTTGAGCATTACCTATTTTTACTATCTGGGTTCTGTTTGATAGATATGACTTGAATAATTTTAGTGCACGATCTTTTATTCCTATGCATTCTAATTTTTTAAGCAATAAGTTGTGGCTTACGGTGTCAAACGCTTTTTTCAGATCAATAAAGACACCCAGCACCATTTTCTTAGAGTCAATATTTTGTTTTATGTCGCTAATGAGATCGGCTGTGGCTGATAAAGTGCTGCTTTTTGATCTAAAACCATATTGGCGTTTAAAAATGAAATTGTTAGTTTGCAAGTAAGTGTCAAGTCGTGAGTAAATAATCTTTTCTAATATTTTTGATATTGTAGGTAGAATAGATATTGGTCTGTAATTGCCGGGTTCGGTTTTGGGGCCAGATTTATGGATAGGAGCAACTCTGGCCTTTTTAAGAGAATCCGGAAATTCACCATTATGCAGCAGCTTATTAAAGCAGATCGAGAGATATTCAGAAATATGATCAACTACGCATTTTATTGTTTTAGTATTGATCCCATCTATTCCACTACTACAATTCGTGTTTAGTGTTTTTATTATATTAGTGATTTCAAGTGTTGTGCATGGATTAAAGTTAGATAGTTCAGAGTTAAGACTTTGAGGAAGTGCTAGTGTAAAATTAATGTGAAATTGTGTTGGTATTTCATTGGCTAGTTTTAGCCCTATGGTAGAAAAGTATGTATTAAAAGCAGCACAAATATCGGTTGTTTGAGTTAACTCTTTAGTGTCTATAATAAGTTTGGAAGGTGTGCAATCTTTATTTAGCTTGTTACTAGCCAATTTATTTATTAGACTCCACATTTTTTTAGGGTTTTTAGCGTGTTTAATAAATTCGTTGGAGAAGTAATTATCTTTAGTTTCCCTTATTTTCCTTTTGACCGTATCTCTTGTAGTAGTATATTGTGCTTGAACAACTATATTTGTAGGATCTTTTTTCAGTTCAGCCCATAATTGGTTTCTAAAGTGAATTGCACTAATGACTTCTCCACTTATCCAATCTTTCTGAGGTGGATTAAGTATCTTTTTCTTTACTTGTTTGCATTTCCTTACACAGTCCTTAATCGTATCTTCTAGTAAAGAATAATCAAGTGTTGCTACATCTAAATTGTAGGTCGTGAATAGTTTGTTAAATTTAGCATAGTCAATGGCTTCATATTCAGAGTATATTAACTGCGGGGCCTTGGATTTTTTTAACTCGATATAAAGTTGCCTATGGTCGGACATTCCTGTCTCAATAAATGCCATATGAAAACGGTCACTTCTTAAATTTGAGCACACGTGGTCGATTATTGATTTACGTGTTTTCGAGTCACGTGTACAATATTTTTTCCTAATTTTATTTATGATGTTATATCCAGCCTCGTCCATTACATCCATATACTGCTTAGTTTGTTTTTCATTCTTTTTCACTAGATCTATATTAAAATCCCCAAAGACTACAGCCCTCTTTCTTTCTCTTAGTTGCAAGCGAAGTTCTTCCAAAAACTTTGAGAAGTTTGTATCTCCAGGATTATACACAAGTCCAATTTCGGTGGCATATCTGTCTAATTTGACCCATAGGTAGTTGTTGCCATCTTTATATGTTGACTCCGACAAACTATGTCTAATACTGTTATGGACATAAGTTGAGACTCCACCACCTCTAAAATCCGATCTATAATTGAAATAATGAGTATAGTTTGGTAGACTCATCTCTTGGGCCTGAGTTTCATTAGTGATCCATGTTTCTGTAATGAGTACGATATGAACAGTTTTAGAAATTGTTTTTAAAATGCATTTGAGTTCATTAAATTTGCCTTTTGCTCGGATACTCCTAGCATTAAGGTATAAAAACGATAAGCGTGACTTGTGTGGTTGTAGCTGATTATGGTTTTGCAAAACTTCATAGGTATTTGTATCTGTGTTGAGGCGTTTGGTTGTATTTGTTACTTCGAGTTTTTTGGAGACATTTTGGTAATAGTGGGTATTCCAGATCTGTATTTAATAGTGATGTCAGTATCTCCCGCAGCCTGACGTCGCACTAGTTCATTTTTTAAATTTTGCAAATATTTTTGCTGAGCTGGAGTTAAGTCTGAATAAATTTTAATGGCTTCTGGAAATTTAGACTTGTTACGTAATAAGTATTTAGCCGTAGTATTTGTTTCGTAACAAACTTTGATTCTACGGTTTTTGCCTGGATTAAATTTTCCTATACGAAAGACCTTAAGGGGTTTTGGTAGACTGGGGTTTATGGTGGAAATCAGTTGTATTATCTTATCTTCATCCTTTAACGGTCCTTCCTCTGCGTTGATCGCTATTTGTTCAGGTATACCTGCAATAATGAGGTTTTTCTCCCTTTGATTGCGATCTCGAACCTCATTGATCAGATTTTCATTAGAAAGATGCTTGTCGATAAAATTGTTTGGCAAAGATTCATTGTTAGCCGTTTGATCTTCCACTTGCGACAGTCTGCCCTCCCAGGTACTCATACGAGCTTCAAGAGAGATTATGTCATCCCTAAATTTCCGCGTCACTTCGAAAATTGCAGCGTTGAGGTCGTCCCGCCATTGCTGCCTCAGATCTGCGAGTTTAGTATCCATATATTTTGTCAGCATTTCAGTATCGACGTTTAATGATGATGCTAAACTTGTTTTCGGCGACACGGATGAAGTAGGAGCAATCTTTTTGCTCTTGCACGCCGAGCACTTCCACTTTTTCCTATTCATCGGTAGAATTTTTTTAAAATCAGCTTCAGATAGATCAGCGCAGAAGAAATGCAACACCGTGAGACAAGATGTGCATTTAATCAATTCAGTATCAGAGGCATTTTTTAGGCATTTACCACAATCCATCTTGGAATATTATAAAATTAAAAAAAAAAAAAAAGTATTCGTTTCGTAGGTATGTGCGCGCCAGGATTTGATCCACAAACGACAGTGTGTATGGTGTTCCTAACAACTTGTTACAAGTGCTAACCAATTCATTACTTGACTTGCGAATAAATCGTATATAATACAATTACGATTTGTCCAAAACAGTGTTTAGGTTTTATTTTAAAGTACTTGATTAGCACAAGACACTTTTAAAAGTCACTTCACTATTTTATGTCAGTTTTTTGCAACAATTACTCTGATGTTTAACCACAACCAAACGAAAAATGTCCATCGCGGTATGGCGGATAACAAATTGTTCGATCACGACTAACGAATCACTGTTTAATACACTATATTGATTGTTCACAACTTATTACGTGAAAACTGTTGCTTAAAATGTCATAGTTCCCGTGTTTTAACCTCTTTTACACACTAGTTCTATTTTTAATTTAAATAAATTTACGGAGGTAATGTTAACTGTGA